GGAGATGAAATTTCTTCCTCTTGCACATGGAACATCTTTGTCCTAGTGCAACTTCCCTTCCTCAAGGTGAGAGATCCCATCTACCCTACCACCCTTCCCTCTTCCAGCTTCACCTGAAGTCTCTGCTTTCTCTGAGGGAAAGTAAGCTCTACCAGGAGGGGGGACTTTGGCCTTCAGCAGGACCGTGCGCAAGTTCATCACTCCACTACACACTTGGGACAGCCTGGTGCTGTCAACAGCACCAACTTGAGATATAGGAAGACTTTGCTTTTCCTAAGGGAGAACCAGAGCCCTAATCCATCCATACAATGACAGAATTGGAACCAAACTTGGAGGCTACCTAGTCCAGTGCTTTATTATGCAGAAAGGGAGATGATTAGCGGCACAGCCTGGAATCAAATCCAGGTCCTCTTATCTCTAATCTGGTTCTCTTCACGTTTATCAGATTCCCTGGGACAATACTGCATTTTGTTCTCCCTATATATCTGTGCCAGAATAATTTTTCAGCTCGGTTTCACATATTTATGCTATAAATATTCATTTTCTAAATCTCAGGAGCTTAGCAAGAACAAAAAGTGGATCCAGAAATTAATCCATTATTGGATGACATGGATTACAGCAAATACCGAGTAGGAGAAGACACACACAGAAAAGTAAAACCTCAGAGTATTTACAGCCTTATGACATCCATCAGGCTGTGACCAAAATTGGATAAGACAGAGCATTATAAATCCTGGGCTGTAAGGGAAGCACAAGGAGAGAAAAGCGTGCATAGTGGCTGCTGCCCTGAGCAACATTCATCATCGGTGATCTCCCAGGCTCACTGTCTTCAGAGCCTGTCCAGTGCACAGTGGGTTTTGTTCTGAAGCAGTAGGGCTGCACTGACACTGATCCCTCTCTACATTCTTGAAATATGTGACTGATACCCAAAAACTGAAGCTCACAGGGCCAGCCTAGCCCCTCCTCATGAAGCAGTGTTATAAAGTATCTGGATTTTTAAACATGAAAATGAAAAAAAAAAAAAAAATCTCTGTCTGAAGGGCTGGCAGAGAAAGAGGGAATCGACCTCTTTGCCTCAACAACGATGAATAACCTAATCCATGATCCTGTGGCTGAGAACCAGAGTGCCCCACAGAGAGGTACACAAACAGGCTGTGAAAATGACCCATCAGAAGGAACGCAGGCGAAATCAATAACTTCAGTGGAAGACTCTAGGTCAAATACTGAAACTACTCCCATGTGAATCCTGCGAACTGTCCTGGGGGCAACGAGTCTTCATCTTTGCAAAACATCTGCGTTGAGGTGAAAATCAGGAGTCATTTAATGTACTCATCAAACCACCCCTGGGTGGGCTTGTTTGTTTCCTCCTCATTTCTTGGGCTCTTGGCTGCTCTTTGCACAGATATAAAATTCTCTCTGCCATTAAGAGGGGCTATAGGGGTCTCACTGAGGCCTGAGCTGCACTCTCATGTCCAGACTGAGTCTGCAGAGGTAAGAAGTCAAGTTACTACATATTGGCGTTATCATTGGCAGGCAGTATGGCCTCACCTTAGCTTTGCATTGCAACAGCCCCAAATGATCTGTCTCTGTTTCTGGTAGCTCTCCTCCCTTGATTTCAATGTACTCTGCCATTGATTAAATTCATACATTATACTGTGGCTGTCTCCTGGACTCCATTTATCAGACAGCAATCTGCTTTCCAGTTCCAGGTCAACTCAGCAGTAATGAATAGACTCAGAGGCTGACCCTGCCTCCAGAGTGTCACCATGGAAGAAAACACACAAGCGGCAGTTAAAGCACCTTGTTTCACATCCTGCCTCTGACACTCATAAAGTGAGATCTGGGCAAGTCACTCAAATTTCCTGAGCTTCATATTTTTTATTTACAGTGATATTTACCCAGGAGTATTTCAGTATCATTACTGGAGCTTTTAAATAATACAAATAATAAGTCATACTTGTGGAATCAATTTCTAGAGGTGGACCTGGATATCTACATTTTGCAGAGCTCCATTAGATGCATCCATTCTGAAATGTTTCTTGATAAAGAACATTAACCATTGGGTTATTGTAGGAATCATATATATATATATATATATATATATATATAGAGAGAGAGAGAGAGAGAGAGAGAGAGAGAGAGAGAGAAAGAGAGAGAGAGAGAGAGAGAGAGAGGTACATTCTAAGAGATAAAGTGCTCTAAATCTCAGTTATCCATTGTATCTTTGCTTTTCTTCTGCTGAATACACAGACACAGACACTTTCTAGGTTCTTTTTCTCAATATCTCTTTCCTGTCCATACATGAGCCCTTATCTCTTCTCACTCATGAAATATTGAGTTCAAATGTTGTATTCCATTTACCTCCTATTACTTTATGCCTCTTTATAGTCTCTCTTTTTTGAAATAACTTTACATAATTTTAAAAATTATGGTCCATCTCTGTGTCATATTAGTGTATATATATATCATTAAATCTAATTGGATGAATATTATTATTTCCATTTTTCAGCTAAGGACATTAAGGTTCACAGAGATTAAGTAAGTCGGTAAGCATTGGAAGTGGAATTGATAACCTTGTCTTCTAATTTTAAGTTCATTGCTTTTCCCATTGACTAACTCTGGGAATAGTACCCAAGTTTTTGCTTATGATTTAGGTGTCAGCTATCACAAAGCCAGCAAGTAATAAATGGAAGTCAGGGAACATTTAAAATCCCTTCCATGGCTTGGTGGTTTAATTATTATTGTAATATGTTTAGAAATGTGGATGGCTGATTGAATTCTTTATTTCCCTCCCAGATATTATTAGCTGAGTAGAGAATTCGTTTGAACTGTGTGAGACTTGGCTCCTCTCCTAGAAAACAGCACTCAGGTGGCCCTGCCTCCTTGGGTTTGTGCCAGGCTCCCTTTTCCTGACCCTGCAAGCATGGAGGGCCCTGTCCTCATCACCATGCAGAAAGGAAGTCACACATGACACAAGTGGGGGCAGTTCCTATTCCCCACATTTCCTTTCTCTCAGGCTGATTAGACATTGGTAAACCCAAGTGTGGTACTCTGGTGAAATAATTTCCCTTGAGGGCAGACTCTTAGGGAGAACAGAGAGTTCTAAGTATTAAACAAATATGGTTTTTTTTTTTTCCTCCTCACATGATGAAAGCACAAGAAGATTTTTCTCCATCTTCATAGTGACAACCTGGTGTGGCTCCGACTCATGCAGGTGTGAGGCTTCTCCTAAAACCACGATCCCCATATCCCCCAATTTTTTAAACAGTCAGACTTGCTCTCATGGGCTTCCAGCAATTGCCAATTACAGTTTAAAGTGTTCTTACCCTACCAATACTAGTTCCTGCTGTGACCCGTGTTCCTGGGCACTGGCTCTGATGAGCAGTGACTCCCCGTTTCTGCCCATGTGTTTCTCCAGTTTTCAGAGTAGCAGTTTGCCCTGAGACTTCGCTTCTCTGACGGACTTCAGAAGAGTTGTTGATTGTCAGTTTGTTCAGCTTTTCTCTTGTTATGAGGATGGGGGCAATGTCTTACAAGCTTCTTACCAGTCAGACCGGAAACAGACTTTCTTACACATGGGAAAGAAAAGAAAATAAGTTACTCTCTGTCTTGGTTGGAATTATTTTAAAAGCAGAGCCTGAGACAAGAGCTCTCTTTTGTTGCAAGACAACAGCCTTGCAACAAGCCTGTTGCAAGTAGTTAATTTGAGGGCAGGAGAGAAAGATTGGTAAAGCGAATCAGGGACAGGAGAAAAGTTCATTTATAGAGTACAGCTTTGGCCTGCTTTTTTCCTGACATTGGCCTTGCATGGGAGTGATTAAAACCTCTGCACATATGGGGTACCTGTGTTTATCACAGCCTTGGAACAGAGCACAAGAAGTCCTGCCTCTGATTTTAAGACCATTTGTGCTGAAGAAAAGGAAGTGACTGTCAAGAATAGGAGTCAGGGACTGTATCTGCAGTGGTCTCAACTGGCTGGGCAGCCTTGGGCTGGTCACCTTTCCTCTGGAGGGCTTAGCTTTCTTTAAGCGCATGGACATTCTTTCTACCAAAAAATATCCAAATGATTGTCTATTGAGGCAAATCTTACATCTGAGCAAGGGGCCTCCGGAGGCCTGAGGCCAAGCGGATTTTCACAGATGATGCGAAACAAATGGCCCCTTGGGAAACTTGTAAGGTTTTATTTTAGTTCTTTTGATTTTTTACATTTCTTCTTATTTCTCAGCGGTTACCTTTAATATAATCTTTGCTCTCCTGAATGGTGTTCTTAGCAGGCTTAGAGCCTAGGCCTGAGCAGCAGTTGGCTCTGGATGTCACGCTTCATTTCACTTCTTGTTTCACCTTTTACAGAACAGTTGGGCACCAAGACAGAGGTTGGACAAGTGTCCTGGGGGGAGAGCTGGCATTGCCAGTCAAGTGCCATAGTGAGGATGTCCATCTCCTCTTTCAGTCCGATACCCACTAATTCTTATCACTCTTGTCTAGCCTCCTTTCTTCTCAAGCCTAAAATGTCCCCAAGAAGAACATATTTCTATGTGTTAAGTTTTGTGCCAGCCCTATTTGTGATGGGTCATGTGATATTCCAAAATGGGTGTATGCCTAAGATTACAAAAACTGAACTTAAGCCTTGATTAACCCAAATCTATCTTGACTTCCATTTCTGTAGTTTGTAAATTAAGAGTCAGACTATTGCAGAAATGGAAAAAATGTTTCATATTCCAGTCAGTTTCTAGTGGCTGCCTGGAACACTGTGACGAGGGAAATTCTTAAGTTACACCCGGATCCTGAGGGAAAGGTGAGAAGATCGATTGGCAATGTCTGTCTTAGAAAAGAAAAGGGGAGATACATTGCTTGACATCCCACAATTAGAAGATCTTGTAGATTCATTCCAGCTTTGAACTGTTAAGAATGTAAATTTTTCTATACCTTTCTTCTTCACTTCTTCAGAATTCATCTGTGCTTTTTTTTTCCTTTGGTGATCTTTGTTTTTTTTTTTCCAGCTGTCTCAGCAGTTCTTTAACCAATCTGAGATAAGGCTTCAACAGGTGAAAACTTGAAGGTTACAACTATCTGAGGCTGGGTGCAGATAAGTCATGTGTTCCTTGGGTAAGTCATTTTCTTCATTGGGTCTCAGCGAAATTGAAGGGGCTGTAGGAAGATATCTAAGGTCTCCTTCCATGACCAAGTCCCACAATTCTATTATTCTGGAGTTACAATGCCTTGGTGAAAACATCAAACACACAAACCACCAAGTGGCTTAAGTGCATTGTAGGGTTGCAGAAGGGCCTTTATTTCTTCTTTTCCTTCTCTTTTTTCCATTCCTTCTTGGTGATGAGGACGGTAGTGGACTTCAACCCTCACATCTCAAAGCACACGTGAAATTGTAAAATATATATTTGGTCACTGACTCTATTTCCTGGCATACAACTCTTAAAATCCCTAGAATCTCTGAAGAGATCTTTTTGTATGTTAATGAAATCACAGGGGGCTGGCTGCCCCTAAGTAGCTTTAGAATGAGAGTTGGTCACCAGAAAACTCCAGGCAGAATGAGAGCATTGGGACTTTCAGTCCCATCCTGTAATCTCTAAGGCTGAAGGCTAAGTTGATCACCAATGGTCATAGTCTAATCAATCATGCCTATGTAATGAAGTCTCTATAAAAGCTCCAAAAGGACAGGGTTCAGAGAGCTTCAGGATAGCTGAACACAAGGAGGGTCCCAGAGGATGGTGTGCCCAGGGTGGGCATGGAAGCTCTGTGCCCCTTCCCATGCCTTTCCCTATGCATCTCTTCATATGTTTTCCCTTTAATACCTTTACAATAAACTGGCACACATAAGTGTTTTTCTGAGATCCATGAGCCATTCTAGTACATTAATTGAACTTGAGGAGGGAACCCTAATTTATAACCAGTTGGTTAGAAGCACAGGTAAAACAACATGAGGCTTTCAACTGGCCCCAAGTCCCAGTCTGAAGTTGTAGGGGAACAGTCTTGGGGACTGGCCTGCCACCTTTGGATCTGATTCTAGCTTGAGGTAGATAGTATCAGCATTGAATTGTATGAGAGGTCATCTAATTGAGTCCTCTGCAGAATTCACTGATTGCTTGCTTACTGGTGAGGAAATCCCTCACATATTAGAAGTCTTTGTGTTGACTGTTAATGAGTGACAGAAGAGAAAAAGCACTTTGAGTGTGTTTCTTCAGTACATATGACCCTTAACCTTTCTCCTCAACCCCATGCCATAGACCAGGCTGACCTGAAGGGCTGGGTGTGTCAAAGGGCACACGTGAAGCAGAGGCACAAGGAAATTGTGAGGGAATAAAATGGACTCATCAAGCTACACTTTGGGAAAAACAGAGCATTTGAGGTGTCAGGGGTCAGGAGACTCTCTGAATGTACATTTTGAAGATACAGAATAAATAGAGTGGACTTGGGATCCTGAACCCAGCAGAAAGTGAAGAGAAAGAGTACAGAAATGATTTATGCATAGGTGGGGCAAGAGAGCGGAGCTTGGACCCAGGCACTAATTTGCCATGTGACCTTACGCCGGAGACCTTAATCCTCTGGGTCCCAGTTTTCTTTCCATTTCTTTCCCCCTCTTCCTCCCTCCTTTCCTCCTTCCCTCTTTTTTTCTTTCTTTCCCTCCCTCCCTTCCTTCCGTTCTTTCACTCTTTTTTCTTTTGATAGAGTTTTGCTCTTGATGCCCAGACTAAAGTGCAATGGTGCAATCTCAGCTGCCAGGTTTAAGCGACTTTTCTGCCTTGACCTCCCAACTAGCTGGGAATTACAGGCGTGTGCCACCACCCAGCTAATTTTTGTATTATTTTAGTAGAGATGGGGTTTCATCATGTTGGTCAGGCTGGTCTCAAGCTCCTGACCTCAAGTGATCCACCCGCCTTGGCCTCCCAAAGTTCTGGGATTACAGGCATGAGCCACCGCGCCTGGCCCCAGTTTTCTCATGTATAAAAATTAAAGGGAAAAGCAATAAGTTGATTTCTAAGTGTTTTCCCAACTCTAATAGCCTGTGGATCTGATTCCGAGTTCCTAGAGTTTCTTTTATCATGTGTACAGACATAGGTATACTGGAAGGGAAGGTAAAAAGAGAGGGGTTTCTAAGTCCTTACAGGGAACATGAAAGCCCTCAGGTAGCCTTAGGCTGATCCTGTCTCAGACACAGAGGCTGCAGCAGGGCTTCTAAAGACCTAAGCTTACTGCTTGTCCTATCTCCCCTGTTGGAATTTAAGCCCCAGGAGGACAAAGCTTACTCTCTGGAATCTCAGCATTTTAGACTTACAAATGTATTTTTTTTTTTTTTTTTAAATTGAGATGGAGTTTCGCTCTTGTTACCCAGGCTGGAGTGCAATGGCGCGATCTCGGCTCACCGCAACCTCCGCCTCCTGGGTTCAGGCAATTCTCCTGCCTCAGCCTCCTGAGTAGCTGGGATTACAGGCACGCGCCACCATGCCCAGCTAATTTTTTGTATTTTTAGTAGAGATGGGGTTTCACCATGTTGACCGGGATGGTCTCGATCTCTTGACCTCGTGATCCCCCCGCCGCGGCCTCCCAAAGTGCTAGGATTACAGGCGTGAGCCACCGCGCCCGGCCCTGTAATCCCAGCTACTCAGGATGCTGAGGCAGGAGAATTGCCTGAACCCAGGAGGCGGAGGTTGCGGTGAGCCGAGATCGCGCCATTGCACTCCAGCCTGGGTAACAAGAGCGAAACTCCATCTCAAAAAAAAAAAAAAAAAAAAGATCATCTAGTCTCAAACCCTCACCCCAAAATGGGAAATCTCCGTATCCTGCCACTGAAAGGCGGCCCCCACACCTGCTTATATATTGCCCTTTCAGATCATTTACAGAGTGAAGGGCAGAGTTCTATAATCCCTTCATACACCCGGCCTCCTGCCCCAGGATCTAGGAGATCTCCCTAGGGTTCCTCTGACACTAGCTCCAGTGTTCCAGCCTGGAACCTGAAATGCCATTCTCAGCTTCTCTTCAGGGAGTGAGGTGGGTAGAGACATGGCAGGTTTTGCAGTCACACAGACTTGGGTTCAAGTCTCACTTCTACTGCTCATTAACTGAGGGGCTTTGGACAAGGTCCCCCAGCTCTCTGTGCAGCTAACTTGCAAAATGCCAGGAATAAGCCTCCCTCAGGGGAATAGTGAGGATTCATCAGGTGCATGAGATGAGCGTGAAACACGTGCTCCCCTATCCTGCTCCTGACCTCCCTGTCTCCACCAGGGTGTGAGCATCTCGGGGGGTAGGAACTGTTTCTTAGCTACAGGACACTCTTTTATCCTAGTACCAAAAATAGTGCTTTGCCTATTATTTAAAAAAAGAGAGAAATAAAAGCAAATTTACATGTGACCCCAGAATCTAGAACAGAGCTCTGTACTCAGACATCTCTCTTTCAGCAAGCCCTGTTAACTAACAATGTTCTGCTTCTCTCTGTCCTTGGAACAAAGACTTCTTCTGTGTACCCAAACAGTCGAGAATGAAGGTTAAAAAAACAGCTCATGTTCAAACACGGAAACAGAAACTGAACTGAATACCGAAACTGAAACTGTTTTTCTCTACCTGGGAGTCAGCAAACCTGAAAGCTACTCTCTGAGCTTCAGAGGGAAAAAATGGTTGTAGATACCCGGACTTGGGAGCAGACATTTCAAGAACTAATCCGAGAGGCAAAACCCTGGGCCACATGGACGCTGAAGCTGGATGGGAACCTTCAGCTAGACTGCCCGGTGCAAGGGTGGAAGCAATACCAACAGAGAGCATTTGGCTGGTGAGTGTGGGTTTCCCAGGTAACAGCCCTTCTGAGAAGAGAGGCTCAGGCTCAGGCTCAGCTTAGTATAATTCATTCCTCTGAGAGCTTGTTAAGGGAGTAAATATCAGCAGGATCTCCATCCTATGGTGGTCATAGTGCTCTTTAGGGTCTGAATGATAAGACGACTCCAAACCTCCATTTTGTTTAACTGCAGGAAGTTTCTTCTTTTACTAGGTTTCCCTCCCTAAATATGGCCCCAAGTTCCATAAATCTGCCCTTCTGTTTTCTTGCCACCTCATTTGTTCCACACTACCTCTAGAGTCATCTGCAGTCTCCCCATCAGTCCTGACTGGCTTCCCCCAGCTGCAGCAGTTCTCCAAGCCTTAGCCCTGTTCAGTACAAGCCTGGGATTGAGTCATTTTTTTTTTTTTTTAAATATCCTTAGAACTGGCTAAGATCAAGCAGTTACTCTCAACATTGCTTTACTGAAGGCCTGGGATAATAGGAGAGAATGATGTTGCAAAAACTAAACCTAAAACCCAGTTCATGGAGTAACTAAGTAATACTCCTCCCTTACTCACCACTTCCCCCTTCAACCCCCAGCAAGTCTCCAGGTTGCAGGAACCACTTTACTTGCCCATGTTAGTGTTGCAGAATATTCAGGAGACAGGAGAAACCAATGGGTGAAACCGGAGGATTTTATTAAGGTGTCCAGCGGCTCAGCAGATTAGCGTCCCCAGGCTGAGCCCAGGAGAAAGAAAGTGGGGTACTTTTTATGTTTCCAGGATGATGTAACTGCTAATGGGTTTACAGAAGCCGGAACAAAGAACAGTACATTGTTGTAACAGGTCTTGTGATGTACATTACATTTGAAAAACAGCATTTTGAGAAAGGCATTGTACATTCTTTGGGTGTTATCTTGCCTTGTGACCTTCCAGCTGGTCAGCAAGAAAAACAGGAGTCTTGAGATGCCTAGGAACTTTGCTGAGAATGTGGGGAGAAGAGATAAGGTAGGTTTTACAGGCAGTTAGTTAATTTTAAGCAGAGCTGGGGGTTAGGTTTTATATTAAACAGCACATGGCCAGGTGCGGTGGCTCATGCCTGTAATCCCAGCACTTTGGGAGGTTGAGGCATGTGGATCACAGGGTCAGGAGTTCGAGACCAGTCTGGCCAATATGGCAAAACCCCGCCTTTATTAAAAAATACAAAAAATTAGCTGGGTGTGGTGGCACACACCTATAGTTCCTGCTACTCAGGAGGCTGAGGCAGGAAAATCTCTTAAACCAGGGAGGTGGAGGTTGCAGTGAGCTGAGATCCTGCAACTGCACTCCAGCCTGGGTGACATAGCAAGACTCCATCTCAAATAAAATAAAATAAAGTAAAATAAACAGCACACAACACAGTAAAATTTATCATATAGCAACTATAAATTACAAGGTTTTGTTTCTACTATTATTGCTATTATTTAATTCCCTTCTTCATTAGGAGGGTGACAGTTGCTGACCTGGACAACCAAATATTTCTTTTAGATGACACACAGGACCTTCAATCTAGCTTTCACTTGACCTATTACTCAGCTTGCCTGCCTGCTCCAACCTGTCTGTCTCAGGTGTGGTCTTCTCCATCCCTTACGGTCTATTATCCATACCATGCACTTTCAGACTTCCACACCCCTGCTCATGGAGCTCCACTTGCTCAGCAGGCCTTCCCTCACCCCTCCCTACTCATCCTTCAAGGCTCACACTAGTGCCTCCTCCTCCTCCTCAAAATATTCTCTGGTTCTCTAGGCAGAGTAAGTATTCCTTCTTATACTTTCCCATAGGATAATGGAATAAGATAAAATATCTATGTGTATGTATACATAAATGATATATGATTATATATACATATGTACTATGCATTTCAGAATAATGAATTTATAAATAATATATGTATGTTATGTATTTTATCTAATACAATATGTGTGTGTATATGTTATATATTGTATCAGATACAGTATAAATTCTGCAGCTGAAAATAAGCATATGTTTATGTTATATATTGTATCTGATGCAATATATATGTATTGATATACATGTATTGATACAATAAGCATATGTATATACTATATATTGCATCAGATACAATATATATTGTATGATACATATATTGATATACTATATATAATGTATCTATATAATATATAATATATGCATATGCTTATTTTTAGCTGCAGAATTTATACTGTATCTGATAGAATATATAATATATACATACCCTTATTTTTAGCTTCAGAATCTGTTGTTTAAATAAAGCCCCCAAACCTCTCCAGAACAGTTCTCAAGTCACTTGTCAGAGCCCACAGAGCAGTTATTTCACTCTGCTTTCTAATCCAGTGAACTGTGTAAATGTTTCTTTCCACACCAGCCAGAGCTTTTTGAGAGACTCATGATGTCTTACAATGTTTTGGCACTCCTCCAAACAGAAAGACGGTGTTTCTCCTGTTGGGATGAATTGATGTGATAGTCATTTTGATATTGGAGAAGCAATCTGCCAGTGTACTTTGGAAAATAGCAATCAGGTTTTGAAAAGCATTTTGTAGTTTATGAAGTATTTCTACATATATGATCTCATTTGATGCTGACAATATAACCCTTGAATTTTTTTTAATGGATTCAAACAATGAGGCTTATAGAAGGGAAGGGCTTTATCTAAGGTCTTCTTGATGTAAACTGTGGACTTGGATCTTCAACCCAGGTATGAGGGACACAGGTGCCCGTCTGTTTCTCCAGGTGTGAGGGATTAGCTATGCTGCTCATCAGAGGCAATGTGTTACAGCAGGTAAACAAGATTAATTTCAGATGGCCTGGGATTAGGCACATGCCTCTAACAGGTTGTGTATCCTTTTCATGACTCGGTTTCCTTATCTTGATATCGAGTTTAATAGGGCTTACTTCACAGGAATGCTTTAAAGATGAGATGGGATAGCACTGTAAAGCACCAATTATATAGTTCATGCCTCAAAATAGATACTTTGACAAAGCTTTCTGTGACCAAAACTAGGAATAAGTTTCTCTGGACGATGACAGATGTGATTTTCCCTTGGAGGCATCTAGAGATGTTTTACTAGCAAAGAGGTAGAATTGGGCATAACGTATGGTGGATACTCAGTAGGTCACAGGAAAAGCTTCATCTGAAACACGATCCTTCTTGTTCCTGTTTGTCAATGACTGGAACAATCTAAATCACGTGATTTTCTTCCAATTGGAAAGGATCTTAGAGACGGGCCAGGACCATTTTCCCTCAGGTTAACTGTCAGCTGAAGGCATAATGGGCATCTTCCTTCTGACCGCAGGTTCCGGTGTTCCTCCTGCCAGCGGAGTTGGGCTTCTGCCCAAGTGCAGATTCTGTGCCACACCTATTGGAAGCACTGGACATCACAGGGCCAGGTGCGTGTGAGGGTCTTTGGCCAAAGGTGCCAGAAGTGCTCCTGGTCCCAATATGAGATGCCCGAGTTCTCCTCAGGTAGCACCACGAGGATTCTAAACAACCTGGTGCAGCATATATTGGAGAAATACTACAGAAATGGCATGAGGAAGTCTTCAGAAATGCCAGTAATCCTGGAAGTGCCCCTGGATGGGTCCCATGACACAGCCAATTGTGAGGCATGTACTCTGGGTGTCTGTGGACAGGGCTTAAAAAGCTACATGACAAAGCCATCCAAATCCCCACTCTGCCACCTATATATTCGGAGTTCCTCACCTGGAACTGGTGTATACATCCCAAACCCAGCCAAGAACCAGTCAGCTGGGGCCAAGGGTGCTAAGGGGAGTGAGTATGAGAAATTAGGGCCCAGCGATGGCTCAGATCCATTGGTCATCTATGTCACTATTCTGCTGCTTGTCCTTATGGTAGTCAAATGCTTTACATCAGAATGATGGAAATAGGTTTACCACTTCTCTGGTTTTAATTCCATGGAAATCAATGAACTGGCTGCCGTTTCAATATGACTGAGAATTCACTGTGAGACTAAGGAGGATCAAGTTTGTAGATAAACACTGGGTTCCTAGGTATTCTCTGAAAACTGTAAAACATGACCAAGTACATGATGGATTTAGTAATAAATATTATTGGATTTCTAAAAAGTCTTCATTTATTCACTAAGTCATTCAGTGATGTCAATATACATAGCTCAAACAGCGTGGTAGGCTGAATAATGGTCCCTCCTAATGTATACACGTCTTAATCCCCAGAACCTATAAAACATGTTACTTTACATGGCAGAATGGACTTTGCAGATGTAATTAAGGACCTTGAGATGGGTAGATTATCTCGTATTGTCCTGGTGGTAAGAACTAGGATTTTATAAAAGGGAGGCAACAAGGTCAAAGTCAGACAAAGGAGATTGGACGATGGAACCAGAGGTTGGAGTGATGTGCTTTGAAGTTGGAGGAAGAGTCATAAGCAAAAGAGTGCAGGAAGCCTTTAGAAACCCAAAAGGACGAAGAAATGGAATGGATTCCCCCTGGAGTTTCCAGAAGGAACCAACTCTGCCTGCACATAGCTTTAGCCCAGTGACACTGATTTTGGACCTCTGACCTTCAGAACTGCAAGATTATAAATTGGTCCTGTTTTAATGCACTAAGTTTGTACTGATTTATTAGCAAAGCAATAAGAAACAAATATAGTTATCAGTATTACAGTATGAATCAGGGAATTATGTTTTAGATGTGCTTCAGGTTTGAAAGAAAAAAGAGCACTGTATACACTAGAAATAAAAATCAACCCAATCCCCTCTTGTTTTCCTTCTCTCCTACTTAAACCCACTCAAACATCTCCATCTCAAAGAGATTCCCTTTGATTTGATGATCCTTGGAGCTATCATTCTCACTTCTTTCAGCATTGGATTGGGAAGCACAGAAGCACTTGCCAATCCTGAGATCCTCTGAGGCATGCTTCACCCCCTATTTTCATCTGTCTATTAGGCATTTCTCTGTAGCCATCATGTTTAAAGCCAAGTTCAACAACACCTCTGACTTTCCTGTTTTAAATCCCCCTACTCACCTAAGCTTATCACCTCTGAGTTGTCTTCAACCTCTCTCAATCACCAACACTTATTCTTTTGTCAAGTTGCTCCCATCTCTTCCTTCTACTTTTCCTTGTCATCCTCTCTCCCCACCTAGTTCAAAATTATTGAAACACGAGGGGATTCGTACTTTAGTTCGTAGGCAGTAGGGATTCATTTTAAGCATTTGAGGATATGGGCAATTTGAGTAGAACCACATATTGAACATACCATTTACTTCTGGGAAAGAATGGAGTGCAGAACAGAAATAGGAAGTCTGTCTTGCAATAGAATGCTGGGAGACACAGACAGGGGCTCCCAAAACAATAAATAACTTGAGAGAATCTGAAGACAAATATAAAGGGCCAAAAGACCTAAGGATAAACGTATCTCCCTTTTATTCTGGCCATATCTCAGGATCCCCCTACCAGTGCTCTCTGTGTACATACCTCCTCCCCAAAGCACACAGCTGAATTCCTGAGTTCCTCCTGTTTTCATATCTTTCTGGTTTTTTTTTTTTTTTCCCAAAAGAACATTGGCCTGGGGATCTACATGAAAATATTATTTATAGCCTGGTAATGTTGTATGACCTCATAATCCCTTCTGGGACTTAGCCGCACTGAATGACAGCAAAAGGAAATAAAGGCATCAATAAAGAAGGGCAAGAAGAGTGGTTAGAAGATAGAACGCTGATGGATTAGTGGCAGGTAACTGACTTAGCAGAGTGGGGTGAGCCAGAATATAAGTTTAACGTGGAAAAATCAAGACGCGATTCGTGTCACGCAAGTCCAAAAAGGCTCCAAACTATAGGCTGAAGCAGCTCTGAGAGAGGGCACTGGGAAGGCTAAAGTGGGCGTGTTGGCTGAAAGACTATACCAAGTGTCTTTCCCCTATCCCAGGCAGCCTAGTAACCACACTTTACCCAACTGAGGGAGAAAGATGGAGGCTGCTTCTTGGAAGACATTTCTCATAGGGACAATGGCTCAGGGAAATCCTTAAGAGAAGGGGAGCCGCAAACAATCAAAAAGACCATAGATGTTCACATACTGAATAATGAGACTCTCTTACCCCACTATCAGCCCTTGGAGCCAGTTTTATAACCTACCTGACCATCTCTTGTATACACAGAAGAATGGAGGACTCCTTTTCTGGAAAAACAGATCTGCTCAAGATAGAAAATACATATACTGAAAGGGGGTGTGGGGGCTTCTCCAATGAAATAGTCAACTCAGAGTAAGCCCATTGGATGCTAATCCCCTCCACCAGAGCATCCAGGTGGCTTTTTAAGGTCTCTTATTTGTACTTTAAATATGACTGGACAGAATGCCAAGGGATTATCAAATGTTTGATAAAGTACTCTAACGTAAAGGCAAAGAAGAAAAAATATTAAAATAAAGACTGAAGTAACAGAGATGATTATAGGATAAGAAAACAAATCAAACAATATTTAAAAAGTAAAACTATTACGTATACCTCAGCAAGATAAGAGAGGGTATAATATTTATGAGATAAGACTTAGACACCATCCTGTGGGATAACCTGAGGTGAGACAGCTACCTTTGGCTGGATCAGATCCGTGGCAGGGTCTCAGCTACAAGCCTCCAACAGGAAATGTTTCTGGAAGCTTGGATAATGAGCACCTTAGTCCCCAAGGAAGTGATCTGAGTGGTGCACCACAGCCTCCACTGCAATCCACATCTTGCAAAACTCAAATATACTTGCTTTGTATAAAAAGCTAACTACATCTGAGGAAAGGTCTTCCAGAATTCTTCTCTGCTGATTCATCTTTACATGATAACATCTCTAAACTGCACCTCAGCTGCATCTTTTGTTACCCAGGCTGGAGTGCAATGGCACGATCTCAGCTCACTGCAACCTCCGCCTCCTGGGTTCAGGTAATTCTCCTGCCTCAGCCTCCCGAGTAGCTGGGATTACAGGCACGCGCCACTGTGCCCAGCTAATTTTTTGTATTTTTAGTAGAGACGGGGTTTCACCATGTTGACCAGGCTGGTCTTGATCTCTTGACCTCGTGATCCACCCACCTCGGCCTCCCAAAGTGCTGGAATTACAGGCTTGAGCCACCGTGCCTGGCCAGCTGCATCTTAAAGATCATTGAGCCACCATTAATCTATTAGGTTGGAGACGTCTGGGAAATGCAGTGTTTGGTAAAACCTGGAGATTCCATGGTCATATTGCCACTTCTATAACTCTTTTGCTACAAATTTTGTCCCTTGGTCAAATGAGACATTATGCGCTATGCTAGTTTGCTAGGGCTGTAAGAATCAGTTTCATGCCTATCACTTATCTTCTGGTGGTTTGTTGGCGATCTTTAGAGTTCTGTGGCTTGTAGAAGCATTACCCTGATTCCTGCTTTTACCTTCACCCGGAAGTCTTCTTGTGTTCATGTCTGTGTTCATATTTCCCTTTTTTATAAGGACACCAGTAATATTGGATTGGGGGGTGCACCTGATTGCAGTATGACCTTATTTTAACTAATTACATCTTCAATGACCATAATTTTTTTTCAATGACCATAATTTCAAATAAGGTCACATTCTGAGGTGCTAGGGTTTAGCTCTTCAACATATAAATTTTTTTGGGGGGGATGGGGCACAATTTAGCCCATTATATGAAGCATCTTGGGTTTGTGGATCAAATACTCCACAAGTCTTTGGAAGTTTGTGCTGGCCAGAGCTCTGCCTGCAAGAAATGCAAGCCATATCTGGAGTATGTGCTGAGTGCACTCAAGATAAATCACTGCCCTCTCCATAATGGAAGGGATACAATGTAACCAATTTGCCACCAAACAGCTGGTTTGACTACTCCAGGGATGGTGCCGCATTGAGGGCTCATATATTCTTGGCAGATTGGACATTCAACAGTGGGATCATTCATATCTAACTTAGTGAGTGGAAACTCATACTGTTGGGTCCATGCAAACCCTCCATTCTCACCTCCATAGCTACTCCATTCATGCACACATAGCGCCAGTACTGGACTGGCAGATGACACAGTCTACCATCAGCAACTGGGTTAGGCATTCTGTCTACTTAGTTGCTTAGTGCCTCTTCCATGATGGGTGCTTTCTGGTGGGCATTAAAATAAAATGCAGAGATCTTTACAGTTTGTGCCCACTTTTAAAGATACATCTACGTTCCTCTTCCCCAAACTTTATTATCTCTAATCTTTCCAGCTTTCTCCTTCCAGGCCTCTGACCAACCAGCTGGACCATTTTTCACTGCACATGAGTCTGTATTTATGCATACTGGTCCATTTAGCTTTTCAAATCAAGTGGGTGACCACGTGCACCACTCAAAGCTCTGCCCATTGGGAGGATTTCTTCTCTCCACTACCTTTCAAGGCCACCCCTGATTGAGGGTGTAATGCAGCCACAGTCTGTTTTCAGCTTTCATTTAGTTAATATTGAACTAAACCATTGGTTAACCATGATTGGCCTTTTCCTTCCTCCGTTGGCTGGTTAAAAGTGACAATCCCCCCACCTGCATACCACCACAACCACTACATGGCCAGATGGGAGCTGAGGGACAGGTACTAATGCAACAGTGATGGTTAACATGGAGGCTGGGCCACCAGTTTATCTAACTCACTTCTCTTCTCTAGGCCTGGCTAACCTGCTTCTATATTTTGATGGATTTTTAGAGGACTTAGGACTTAATGGGCCTTTTTGAACCTAGCCATGATGGGCATCTCTGGCCTCATTAACTTTGCATGTCTCATGGTCATCAGTTCTAACTCTACCTCAGCCACATAGATTGCAGGGGTTGTTTTTTTTTGAATGACATGCAGTCCTCTGATGCAGATGGCATAGCCTTACTTCAGAACACAAGTATTACAAACCTTTTCTTTTTTTCCCATTGGGATTGTCATGAACAACACATGATACCAGTTCTCACTACAGATAACTCCAATTCTGTAGGGTCTGCCAAATAATATAGCCCATGGGGTGAAGATCCACATTGCATTGTGGACCAGCTGCTGATCCCTTTCCTATTCTGGGTCCTATTCAAAGCTGTCAGCTTTCTTTTTCATTTGGTAAATGGGTCATAGCAGTGTGGAATA